ACTTGAGCTATAGCGCCACTTCCAGTTTTCTGGTGGTTTATTGGAGATAGGAGTCTCAAGGTCTCTCTTGCCCGGGCTGGCTTTGAACTGTGATCCTCAGATCTCAGCCTCCTGAGTAGCTAGGATTACAGGCGTGAGCCACCAGCGCCCTGCTGACCTTTTTTTTTTTTTTAAGAAAAAAAAAAACAACAAAACTTAATTGGTTTTACTTTTAACTCTGGACTTGGATAACAAACACTTCATCTTATTTTATTTTTTTTACTTTATTTTTATTTTGTCAGTCATGGGGCTGAGCACTGTCTCTGAGCTTTTTCACTCAAGTGATCTACTACTTTAAAGCCACAGTACCACTTTAGTTTTTTTTTTTTTTGATGGGTTATACGTCTTGAACTTTGGGTCTGGGCGCTTTCCCCGAGTCCAAGGCTATGGCTCTACCACTTGAGCCACAGTGGCACTTCTGGTTTTCTGGTAGTTAACTGGAGATAAGAGTCTCACAGACTTTCCTGCCTGGGCTGGCTTTGAACCACAATTTTCAGATCTCAGTCTCCTGAGTAGCTAGGATTACAGGCATGAACCATCAGCACCTGGCAACACTTTATAGGAAAGAATGTGCTTTAAAAATGTTTAAAAATCTTCAGTCTTTCAATAAATATTCTGTGCTTACTATGGAACAAGACATACTTGGGCAATTAAAAACATTTTCATGAATAAATTACATATCCAAGCAACAGTGACCATCTAAAAATGTTTATTCTTTCGGGTATACTGGAGTTACAACTCAGGACTTTATGCTTGCTAGGCAGGTGTTCTACCACCTAAGTTATATCCCTAGCCCTTTTTGCTTTCTCTATTTTAAAAACAAGGTCTAGCATTTTGCCATGTGCTATCTTGGACCATGATCCTCCTAATTTATATTTCCTTACTGTAGTTGTGATGACAGATACATGCCATCCTGCATAGCTTGTTTGTGCCATTCCTGGGACTTGAACTCAGAGCCTGGGCACTGTCTCTGAACTTTGTTTTGTTCAAGGCTAACATTCTACTACTTGAGCCACAGCTTCATTTCTGGCTCTTCTAGTAGTTTATTGGAGTTAAGACTCATGGCTGTTAGTTCCCAGGCTGTCTTCTAACCATGATCCTCAGATCTCAGCCTTCAGAGCAGCTAGGATAATAGGCATGAGCCACTGGTGCCTGGACTGCATAGCTCTTTTATATAAAGATGGAGTCTTGAGAACTTGTTCCACTTGGCCTCAAACTGAAATCCTCCCAAGCTTGGCCTCTCTCCTAGGTCTTAAAGGCATGAGCCCTCTGAGTCCAATGAGAGAACTTAAACTTTTGTAGATGCGAACCTACTCACATAGAGAAGCTGAAGCTCAAGTTAAGAGTGCACAGACAGTGCACAGTTTGTTTCTGCTGACAGATCTGTCTTTTGATATTTATATTTCATTATAGAATCTCTCCAAACTCTAGACATTTGTATCTGGGAGATATTTGTATCTGGGCGATACACGTTGAGTTTATGGTACTATTCCTGAGAAACATGGCAGCAAAGAGCCACAGCACTGTGCCCTAGCAAGCAACAGGGCAGAGGGCATGCTCACTGAGTCAACCACGGAGCAGAATATCTAAACAAATGGCCTTACAAATCAGGAGAAGGTGTAAAGAAAACAGAGGTCTGGCATTTCATACTACACAATGCGCTTTTATGAATTCTGATGCTTTATGAAGTGATTTTGTATGTCTTTTGAAAAGGCTTCATTTGTGAGACTTGGAACGTTCCTTAAGTGATATGCCATGGTGACTAAAAACAAGACACAAGGTGAAACTCTGCTTTAAGGTGTGACATGCTTATTTCATTCAGTTCAGTGGATCAATGGTTGTTCAAGTGCACTTTAAATCCAACCTGCTGATATGGTTCCTGTTGCTTAAAAACAGGTAGCCCTCCCAACTCTGTGCAGAAAAAAAACAAGATAAAAAACAACAACAACAACAAAAAACAGAACCTGAAGAAAGATTCAACTTGTGGCATTGAGTTTTATGTGCACTGACCTTTGCATTTATTTTCTCCAGTCTCCTGGGTACATCTCCTTATGTCTGACCTATTCATAGACAGGTTTATAGTCTACCAGGTATGCATTCTATCAATCTGCTCATTTAACTGGGATATAAAGTTGCATTGTGGCAGGGTTGTTAATCACAAAGGAGTTAACAACAATGCATAAAAGGGTACTTCCAACCCCCAGATTCAGGAAAGGTCTTTAGACATCAGGAGAACCTCTTCAATTTAACTCTTTCCTCTTCTTTCTAGTTCTTTTTTTTTGGTTGTTCATAAGGCTTGAACTCAGCGGTCCCTGAGCTCTTTTGCTCAAGGCTAGCACACTATTCCTTTGATACTCAGCTTCACTTCCATTTTTTTATTTGTTTGTTTGCTTGCTTTGTTTTGTTTTGCTTGAGAGATTAATTGGAGAAAAGTCTCTAGGGACTTTTCTGCTCAGGCTGGCCTCAAACTGTGACCCTCAGATCTCCTGAGTAGCTAGGATTACAGGTGTGAGCCACCAGCACCTGGCTCTAATTCTTCCTAAAAACAAAACAATAGCAGCCCCTCCCTCCCCTTTTTCCTCTGTGTGGATGATCAAATCATCCTAGGTCTTGTGCATGCTAGGCAACGTTTCAACCTTCAGCTACACTCTCAGCCCCATCAAATGGATTTTGTGGAGTAGAAATTATCATGTGAAAGACAAGTTATGTTTTCCATGACAAAAATAATTGCACTTTGTAGAATACCAAACTAAATGTGCTGGTGACACCATCTCTCTCAGCTGAGGCCAGGCGGAGGAAAGCTTTCAGCCAGACTCTGCTGTGTTGATGTCTTGGGAGTCCTGTAGGAAGAACTATCTAGGCTGGAGTGTACCTGCAGTAACCATCTTTTTTATTTTGATCGATCGGGGAGCTTGAACTCTGGGCTTGGGTGCTATCCCTCAGCTCTTCAGCTCAAGGCGAGCACTCTACCACTTGAGCCACAGCACCACTTCTGGTTTTCTAGTCATTTATTGGAGACAAGAGTCTCATGGACTTTCCTGCCCAGGCTGGCTCTGAACTGTGATCCTTCAGATCTCAGTCTCCTGAGTAGCTAGGATTACAGGCATGAGCCACAGGCGCCTGGCCCAACCATCACTTTTTAAATTAGGAGAATTTTCCTTATAAGTTAAAAGGACTGCAAATCTGAATAATCACACATAGAGAGTATTTTAGCTTGGCAATTCTTCATGATGTAAATGCTTTCCTCCTTTGTATTTTGTGCCAACAAACAAACAAAACTTACTTAACACATTGAAATGAACCCAATTCTCTTTTCCCGTTTCCTCCTTCTGGAATGTCAACCTAGTAAAGATAAAATCATGGTAACAATTATTATTATTTTTTTCAGACTTGAGTAAGACTAATTTAAGAGCCAACAATTAGAAAATGCATAACTGAAATCAACCAGCCAATTTAGCTATACTGTTTCAGAAGTACTAAATGATAAGAAATCCTGAATAAAGGTTATGGAATCAGGTGTGGTAGCACATGCCTATGATTACAGGACTCCGGAGGCTGAGGCAGGAGGATTTTGAGTTCAAGGACAGCTAAGAAAATAGCTCATGAGGGGCTAGGAAGGTGGCTCAGTGGTAGAGCGCTTGCCTTACATGCCTGAGGCCCTGGGTTCAATTCCTCAGCACCACATAAGCAAAAAGAAAAAAAAAGCTGGAAGTGGCGCTGTGGCTCAAGTGGTAGAGTGCTAGCCTTGAACTAACGAGATGAAGGACAGTGTGGCCAGGCTCAGAGTTCAGGCTCCACGACTGGACCCCCCAACCCCCCCCCCAAAAAAAAAGAAAATAGCTCATGATGCCCCAGCACTCCTTGATCTGTTTTGTTTTGTCGGTACTGGGGTTTGAACTCAGGACCTCACACTTGGTAGGCAGGTAGGAACTCTACTACTTGAGCCATGCCTCTAGCCCCAGCTCTCCTTGAGAGATAATCAGTCCTCTTAGCTACAGGCTAACAGCACATTAACTTAATTCTACCCTGTATTGAGTTTTTCTATTCCATGTCCACAACCCAAAAACTTCAGTGGAGAAGGGCTCCAGACAGAAAGCAGCCATAAGGCACACCCATCAGCACCAGCACACATGGTCAAGGCATGCAGGATTCTACAAGGCTGACCCAAAGTAAAACAACTTGATCAAATTGGGTATCTGTGGCTTATGCCTGTAATCCTAACTACTGAGGAGGCTGAGATGTGAATATTTCAATTCAAAAGCAGCCTGAGCAGACAAAATCCAAAACTTTTTTTTTTTTTTGGTTGGTTGTGGGTATTGAACTCTGGGCCTGGGCACTGTCCCTCAGCTCTTCAGCTGAAGGCGAGTGCTCTACCACTTGAGCCACAGTGCCACTTCCAGTTTTCTGGTGATTCACTGGAGCCTCACTTTCCTGCCTGGGCTGGCTTTGAACCATGATCCTCAGATCTCAGCCTCCTGAGTAGCTAGGATTACAGGCATAAGCCCCTGGCACCTGGTGTAAAATGCAGCCTTTTATTAGTTGGTTGTGAAGCTTCAACTCTGGGCCTGGGTGCTGTCCCTCAGCTCTTCAGTTAAAGGCTAGCACTCTATCACTTGAGCACAGCACCACTTCCCCAAGATACTCATCATACTGGCAAAAAGCCAGAAGTGGAGTTGTGGTTCAAGGGGCAGAGTGGCAGCCTTGAAAGAAAAAGGCTAAGGTAGAATGAAAGGCCCTGAGTTCAAGCCTCAATACTGGCATAGAACAACAACAACAACTTGATTCTCTTCATTTCATAACTCTGAAGCATTTCCCCTTTCAATATGAGCAGGGAAGGGAGAAGGGAATTCATTTTAAATGAGTGTCTACTTTACATGAACCTCATTTATAATGGCAACGGAATGTAATAAAATTCTTGGACATTTGCATGTAGTCTGAAACTACTTAAGGCTTTGCGGTTTATATTAAATCAGTGCCTTTCTTGATGAATTCTACAAGTTTGAAGTTTTAAAACAATTTTTTAAACTTATGGGCTTAGAAATAACAGTTGCACTAATAATGTAGCAGACTCTGGTGATTGATTTCAGTGTGGTAATTGTGCTTTTTAAAGTCCTGCTACAATGAGCAGAAGAAAAATGAGGACGAGTGCTAAAACTAACATTATTCTTAATATTAATTTAGAGAATGTGTTGAGTTTCTCCAAAGAATCAGGCCATATTCATGCTAGGCAGTTTTAAAAGACCTACATTTTGAAACCCAAAAGATTCAAACCATTTCTATCTGAAAAGATTTTTAGTTATACTGTTTCTAATATAATAAAATTTTACTGCACTCCCCCCTCTCCATTTGCAAATAAGTTATTGATGCTGAATTATTTAAGATAGCTTTATTGAGATTTCTAGGTAGCAATACATTCTAGCAGGGAGCAAGTCATACTTTTCCTATTGATATAAATGTTTGAGGGGCTTAGCTTGAAAAGCTCCAACACAGGAGTGTATGGTCTCAAGTTAAGTCATGTATAAAATTATGATTCTTCCATATAATTTTTCCCAATCAGAATTATAATCATTAATGAACCATTAATGGACAATTAACTCTAATCATAGAGCTATAGAATTCTCAGAGTGATTTGGTACTGTAACCTTAGAATCCTTTGGGACTATGTAGCACCATTTAATTCCCATTTGTTAAATGTCACAATGAATTAAAGGGTATCTTCAGTGCTCAACCACCCTCTGAGAATATTTGATTTACCACTTGACCTATGGTGGTCTTTCACTTTAGAACTCAGATAGTATTTAAGCATTATGTTCTAAGACTTCATAATATAATAATAATCAATCATTACCTACTTAAAATTTTTTTGTTTGAATTTTCCAAAAGTCAAATGACCAATGGAGGAGAGAGGTCTGAAATTCAAGGTTCTAGGCTTCTTGTTATTTAACTTTTGGCAATCAGCAATTTCCTTGGATCTCACTGAGTAGATGATAAATAAGGGCAATACAACCTACTTACAATTACTCTGACATAGTTGGCAGGAAATACACCAGTCTGATTTCTACATTTACCCCTGTACCATTCTGCATCTATTTTTTCAAGCAGATAAACAATTTCTCCAGATGTGAGGTTCAAATCATCAACTTGCTCTGTAATATAAAATCAGAAGTTACATATGATAAATTATTTCACTTGCAGATTTGATTATAGGAAAAAAAACCAGCAAACACCTAGCACTCAGTTCTGTCCACACAGGTAGTACATTCTGAGAAAAGATTATAAAATATTATATAAAAATATATATTATATATAATTATATATAAATTATATAAAAAATATTAATATAAAAGATTATAAAATATTATTATTATTTTTTGTCAGTCTTGGGTCTTGAACTCTGGGCCTGGGCACTGTCCCTCAGCTCTTCAGCTCAAGGCGAGTGCTCTACCACTAGAGCCACAGCACCACTTCCAGTTTTCTGAGTGGTTTATTGGAGATAAGAATCTCACAGAGTTTCTTGCCGGGCTGGCTTTGAACCTTGATCCTCAGATCTAAACCTCCTGAGTAGCTAGGATTACAGGTGTGAGCCACCTGCGCCTGGCTATAAAATATTATTCTTAGTTTAGATTCTGACATTGGGAGCTTCCTCTCCTAAGACCAAATTATCTACTTTGCACTGATTGATGGGAAATGTTAAAAAACAAAAACAAAACAAAAATCCAACACTCCTAAAACCATCCAAAAGACCATTCTGCTGGCCAATGGCTCCAATTGTGCCTATATAAACTAATTAAATACACACTGAACAAGGAAAGGGTTTATAGATATGATAATACAGTTACCATTATTTCCAGTAATTCTTAACATTCATTTTAGTGGTCAGTGGGAGAAAATGAGGGAGGGGGGTAACAGTATTTGAAAAGATATGTACTCAGTACTTCATTTGTGTAACTGTAACTGTGTAACTGTAACCTAACTGTAACTGTAACCACCTTTACAATAAATTAAAAAAAAATGCACCACTTGTGTTTCCTTTCAAAAAAAAAAAAAAAGCCAGCTGGGTGCCAGTGGCTCACCCTTGAAATCCTAGTTACTCAGGAGGCTGAGATCTGAGGATCACTGTTCAAAGCCAGACTGGGCACGAAAGTCTGTGAGACTCTTATCTCCAATAAACCATTGAGAAAACAGGAAGTAGCGCTGTGGCTCACGTGGTAGAGTGCTGGCTCGCCTTAAGCTGAAGAGCTGAGAGACAGCACCCAGGCCCAGAGTTCAAGCCCTATGACCGACAAAAAAAAAAAAGTCAAACCAGCTTCAAATTAACTAAGGAAGTCCTATAGCCCTTTCGCAAGTAAAGTTGCCACATTAAACTAAATACCAGTCTGCCAAATATATCTTTAAAAAAGAGGTGGTAAATAAATAAAAGGTTTAGTTTCATTTGGATATGAATGGTATTTAAAAATGATGATAGAACTTTACATTTTCATCTCATGGGTAAGTCACAGGTCAGAGAACTCTTAGGACCAAAAAACTTCACTTATTAAATTAGAATTGTCATGACAATGGTTAATTAGTACCTATTATTTTGAAAGAGGTAGAAAGCTTGCAACTGGTAGGCAATTTGCTATTTTTTTCATTCGAAAGGGACTCTCTCTGTCTCTGTTTCCCTCTGGAGTTTCCAAGGCCTGGAATGCAGCTAAGCTGTCTGGAAAGGTTGGACACAGGGGACCCTTCTTGAGTGGTGGATAACAGGACAGCCCAGGCTTGGGTACGCCAGGCACTGAAAGTGAGGCAGCCATATCTGAGTGATTACTCCGAGGACGATCCCTGCTTCTAGTCCCAGTGCGCTATTGACTCATTATTGATGTCCTTACCTGCTGGGAAATCATGAAGGACGACGGCATGAGGAGCACTACTGCCAACTGGCTTCTGAGCAAGGCCCAACTCCTTAGGGGAAAGACAGGGCTATGAGCAAAGTGTGCAGGGTATGCGCTCCATTATTATGACTCACCCTGAGAGCGACTGTTTTTCTCACTACAGTCCCCTTGACACCCTTATGTTATGTGAGTACAAGATGCAAACAACACAGGTGAGCTGAACAAGAGAATCATTATGAACTTGCAAAGGAATGTGTCCTTGTCAAGGGAGGACAGAAATCACTCTGAGTTATAATATCTCCTGCATGTTGATTTACTCTCTTTTTTGTGCTGGTCCTGAGGCTTGAACTCGTGGCCTGGGCATTACCCCTGGGCTTTTTGCTCAAGGCTGGCACTCTGACACTTGAGCCATGAATCCCACAGACTTCCCTGCTTGGGCTGGCTTGGAACCATGATCCTTGGATCTCAACCTCCTGAGTTGCTAGACCAAGTGTGAGCAACTGATACCTGGCCCCTTGCATGTTTACTTTTTAAACTGAAAAAAAGAGAACTTTATTTAAAAGGAAAAGAAAATACAATGGTACGTGTTCTACTCAAAAGCAGTGTTTTGCTATTATTGTTTTTGAGGATTATAGGTATAAGCCACCAGTGCCCAGCGACTTCATTCTCCTTAAAGGTAGTTTTTCCTCTAAAGTAAGAACAGAGCTTTCCAAGTTGTGTCTTTATTAGGATGGAAAAAGCAGAAAGTTCTGCAACTTAAGTTCTTGCCTTTTGTAATGAGGGAAGGTAATGAATTCCCACAGAAGTATAATTCACAAAAAGTAAAATCCATTTCATTTATTACCACTTAACTGAATGCTTTTTTCTAATTTGAAAGCAATGCCACCTACTATGCCTGGCTTTTCTATTTAATTGGAATGGTTTATTCAACAGTAATTCTAAGTAATTAGTAACAGGAGTGTCATATTTTCCACCTATCTAGCAATGTCCTAGATAGGCTGGAGGGGAGAGGATCAGGTTGAAAAGGGACCCTTTCTTATTGACATGCAGTTGTTATTCTAAGTTTCTCCCCTATTCTTTCTCATTTCATCCCTTTCTACCCACCACCAGTGTTGGGGATTGAGCTCAGGGCCTTGCACAAGCTAGTCAAGAGCTCTACCTCTGAGCTATACCCAGGCTGGCCTTACACTCATGATCTTCCTATGTCAACCTCCTGGCTGGAATTATAGGTGTGCCCCACCACTTCTTCTATCATTATATGAAGAGACAGACTTATCATCATCATCATCATAATCTTCGTCATTATCATCAAATGAAGGACATCATGCATTTATTTAGCTTTTGCAATGCTAGATCAAAGTCAGAGCCTCTCACATGTCAGACAAGTGCTCTACCACTGAGCTGTACCCTCAGGTTGTTATAAGTTAAAATGCAAATTTAATGTGCCTTAGTGGTAAAATGCTTGCCTAGCATGTATGAAGCCCTGGGTTTGAAAAGCGGGAAGTGGTACTGTGGCTCATGAGGTAGAGTGCTAGCCTTGAGCAAAAGAAGCTTGGGGACAGTGCCTAGACCCTACGTTCAAGCCCCAGGACTGGAAAAAAAAAGAAAAACAAAAACAAAAAACAAATTTAATGAAAAAAATTAATGAAATTTAATTTCATGAAGAAATAAAGGCAGAGTTTTGTGTTCCTCCTCTCATCACTTCTGTCCTGTTAGGATTAAGTCAGATCCTTCTCTGTCTCTGCTCCTCTGGCTCAGGCAGACCATATGGTAATGGCCCATTTTCTCGCTTCCCGTCCTGCAGCACTTCTGTTCAGATCTTTTCCGAATCTCATCTGCTCTTTTGGCACCACAGGGCAAACTGCATTCTCTTGAATTAGGTAAGCTGAAATGTAACTTCAGGGAAGCCAGTAATCGCAAAAGAAGCTTTCTGTATCAGTTTACTAAGGCAATCTTAACATTGTCTCAGGGACTACGTGCTTAAATAAATAAGCAACATGGAAGTGGAAAGGAATTATCTTAGGTTTGAAGTAGCTTTCACAATTGTTATTTATCTTAGGTGAGGTGGCACAGGTCAGTAATTAGCAACTTGGGAGGCTGAGATCAGGAAGATTGTGGTTCAAAGCCAGCCCAGGCAAAAAAAAAAAAAATCCTTGAGATCCCACTCTCAGCTTAGACAGCTGGGTGAGATGGCTCCTGCCAATCATCCTAGCTATGTGGGAAACCTGTATCAGGAGGATGGTGGTTCAGGCCAGCTCAGGCAAAAAAAAGTTTGTGAGATACCATTTCAAATGAAGAAGCTGGGCACTGTGGAGTGTGCTGATCATCCCAGGGATGGTGAGAAGTATAAAAGAGAATGGTTACAATCCAGGCATGGGCCTGGGAAAAAAGTAAGACTCAAAGTATCAGTATCTCAAAGTGACCAGTATTAAAAAAGGATTAGAGGCCAGGCTTGGTGGTTCAGTGCTTGCCTAATAAGCATAAACGCTGAGTTCAAAACCCAGTACCAACAAAAGTTATTTACATGATGTAACTATACATCTGTATGTGACATTTTCCTTTTTCAAATGATTTGTATTTGTGAAAAAAGGGAAAGCTATTCAAGAACTGGTATTAAACTAAATGATTATCTATTTGAAAAAAAAGATAAAATCAGAGACTGATCTCTTTCACAAGACAAACATGAGTCTCCAAATGGACCAAAGATCTACATATGTCCTAGCCTGGGAGTGTGGGAAGGTAACCTGAGCCCCTCCACTTTCAATGTGGAGATATCCCAGATGCTGCTGCTCAGCCACCTGGTAAAGGGAAAGTGGACAGGCTAGATGGGGTCGTCCTGTGGGCTCAGTACCCTGTAGACCACACCACCAGTGTGGGTATCTGGGGGAAAATTTCACACATGAAACTTCCTATTCATAAGAGGTCTCTCCCCGTTTCCCCCTTTCCTCATCCCTAATCTAACCATGAATCCAGGAATTTGCCTTCTCTGGACAAATGAAGTTCAGAGGACTAAATGACCATGTGGGGTGAAAGTTGACAGTACTGGGTGACAGACTCTCACTTTCCCATAACTATCACAATGAACTCGCCTTTGTACAACTAACGTGTGTTAATTATGATAGTAATGACAACAATGATGGTAATGATAATGATAATAGCAGACCTTTGGTGCTGTAACACCACGTTACCATAAAAGTATTCTGAGAGGACAGATAAAACAGACATAAAATGCGGAACCAAAATGTTGAGAAAATGAGTAATAACAGATTTTGCCTATGTGAGCAGGTTAGAACTCTCACATGCCAGCTACAACTAGCTGGATACATTTCTTCTCTATCCTTCTCCAAAATTCAATTTCTTAGTAGACTGAGAAATGATAAACTGCCTTCTGTGAAAATTATTGGACAAGACTAAAAACTAGGATGAAGAATGAACCAAATAGTTTGTAAGGACTGAACAATGGATAGGCATTATCTTTCATATATACTATGTGAAGCAACAATGAAAACTTAACTGGGTAACTTAATAAGCTCTTTTAGAAATACACCTAGGGTTGGGGAAATAGTTCAGTAGTAGAGCACTTGCCCAGCTTGAGCAAAGCTCTGGGTTCAATCCTCAGCACCACAGAGGGGAAAATAGATAAAAATGAAAAGTATGCCTCTATAGTAATGTTAAATAGCATTTCTCTTTCTAAACAGATGGCCTTCAATAATCCATGCATCTTACCAGGATCCACAAATTTGTAAGGCCTAAATTGTGACTGGAGGGTTGTTGCAATATATTTCATTATTTTATGAGCTAAAATCAAGAGAAATGAGGTTTACATTAAGTGTACATCTTAAAAGGAAGCACTCTTACGTCAGACATAGCATTTCTATGGTCCCTTTTAAAATAATTACCCATTATGCTAGCAAATGAATCTCTGGCATTTTGGCAACAGGCTCACATTATTTAAAAAATAAACTAAACTAAACAGCTCACTCCATTGAAAAATCATGAGTGAGCATTCAAGTTTCTGTAAGCCAGAACAACCACATGGAAGACTTTCTGCCTCTCTGTGCTTTGAAGTGATTAGGATGGTAAGAGTGAGTCAGTCTCTTAGAAGCAATTTATTCTAAAAATGGAATAAAATGCTACTGTAGTTTTTGCTCTGGTTAAAATGACTGTGCTAATAAAAAACCAGGGGGATGGGATATAATTAATAGTTCTATGATGTGTGTTACCATGTTTGATAGGAAGGCTGTGTGATATTAATTCCTTACTTCAGATCTGTTCCTAAGCTGCTCATCAGGATAAGTGATAATTTTCATCTTAGACAGGTGAACTCTGCCAGTCCCTTTGCCCCTTTGGCATTCCAAGTAATTATTTTCTGCCTGCTTCAGAATCACAAGTACATCCCCGCGCTGCAAGGTACAATACCACTTGCTGAAGCAATTATTATTAATAAAATATTATTACTTCTCCACTTTTTAATCTTGGGAGCCTAAAGCATTTAATAATGTGTCATAGCAGTATCAGAGGGCAGCAATCTTTTCTGTTTTCTTTTTTGGTAGCATCCCACCTTACCTTACAGGAGAGCTCTGTGGGCTTTTGTGAGTCAATGTCTTCATTGGAGAGTCCATGAGGCACAGACAGCTTAAAATGTAAGCCAGGAAGAAAATTACTCATAGTCTCCCAAACTTCTGGCAAACTGCTTATCATTTGGGGATTGCACATTAGTACCTAAAGTAGAACTTCTCTCTGCTCAGGATCAAAAACTCCACACCCTGGATCAAGTGGGGTCTGCTATTTCCCACAAAGGATGCATATGGCTTCAAGTTTCCTCTAACAATCACAGCTAGGTGATTGTTTTAGTCCCCGGGGACTAAAGGATCAGTTCTTAGCAGCTGACCTCACAGCCTGTCAGGGCATTTTTTTTTTTTTTTGGTCAGTCATAGGGCTTAAACTCTGGGACTGAGTGCTGTCCCTAAGCTCTTCAACTCAAGGCTAGCACTCTACCACTTGAGCCACAGCACCACTTCAGGTTTTCTTGTGGTTAATTGGAGATAAGAGTCTCAAGGGCTGTACACCTAGGCTGGCTTTGAACCACAGTTCTCAGATCTCAGCCTCCTGAGTAGCTAGGAGCTACTATATATAGCTAGCTAATATGTGTGAGCCACTGGTGCCCAGCTCAAGGCATGTTTTTAATTCAGGGTTCACAAAAGGCTGTCAGGATTAGAGCTCTCCCTACACTGGCTACCATGTGCCTTGAGCCTCATCCCTACAGTCTCCCTCACACCCAGTGTCTCAAATCCACTTTAAGGCCTGCAGCAACTGCCATGGTTTTTATTCGTGCACACTCTAATGAGGGGGCTCTGGTCCATGTTTTGGTGAATTTTGGTTGGTGACTGGAGGTCAGATGATCTGTACAATATACAAGGTATGTATTGAGGAAAAGTAGTCATTCAAGTTCACTTCCAATGTGGAAAGAAGACTTCTAAGGCTCTTGGATCATCCAGGAGCCAATGTTGTTTAGTATTACACAACATTGTAAGGCTGGGGTATATAATATTACTTTTGGGTGTTTCCATAGAGTCCCAGGACTTCCAATATACTCAGATTTCTGGCAAGAAATTCAATGGCATGGGGGAAAAAATGAAGAACTGATTTAAGGAGTTCTTTCATAATGAGATTTGTCATACTAAACCCACTATCTTTTGAATGTATTAATTCTTTGCGTTCTTACATGTTTTACTGACATAATGTCAGTTATGTACGAGCCCTAAGTGAAACTAGGCTAGTGGTTCATATCTTAAATCCTAGCTCTCAGGAGACTGAGATCTGAGTGAGAATTGTGGTTGTAAGCCATCCTGGGCAGACAAAATCAAGAGACTCATATTCAATTAACCAGCATAAAACCAGAAGTGTTGGCATGGTTCAAGTGGTAGAGCTCCAGTCATGAAGACAGTGTGAGGCCTGGAGTCCAAGACCCAGTACTGTTACCGTCCCCCCCCCCCCCCCCCCCCCCGCGATGATTTCTCCACTACGACCTCCAGGAACAAATGTATTTCATTCCCAGCCTCCCTCCCCCCCCCCCCCCACCCCCCCCCTCCCCCCCCCCCCCCTCCTCCTCCCCCCCCCCCCCCCCCGCCCCACACACCCTATTTCTCACCTCATCCCTCAATAGGGGCTCTTAGTATAGAATGGTCAAAGGTAGTAGAGACTTCACAACTAGTAACACTGGGTTTATAGCATAGCGTAACAGTGGGGAACATGGGCTCAGAGCCAGTTGGCCTGTGTTCAAATCTTGGTTCAACTTGGCTTCATCTCTCAATCTTATTTCCCTCATTTGTGCAACTAGAATAATAATGGCACCTAACTCATAAGATTAACATATAAAGTGTTTTGAACAGTGTCTGACTCATAATTAGTATTCAATACATGCCAATTACTATTGATGCTTGTATTTATTTATCAAGGAATCTATTCCAAAAGACACCATTGGGTTTTGGTAATTAAAGTTTCATCAGTTTATACTTGATCTTAGTCAAAAGGCAGTAAGTCTCACTAGTTTAAATAAATATGAATATATTTATTTATTTATTCTTGTCTGTCTATTCTCTTTTCAAAAGAGAAAATCTTTAGGGGTTGGGGATATAGCGCAATAGAAGAGCACTTGCCTGGGAAGTGCAAGGCCCTGAGTTCAGTCCTCAGCTCTAAAAAAACCCTAAAACCTTGAATGGCTTAAAGTAAAAACAATTTCTAGATCAATGGTGGAAATGTAGAACAATATAAAATTATTAATTGCTATTCTAGTCAACTGGCTGTAGTATCATTCAATTGCTTTAAAGTAAGTTCAGCCAATCCTGCTCTCCTTATTATTTTATTTTTCTTCAGATTTTTTTCTTATTGGTCATGGGGCCTGAACTCTGGGCCTGGGCACTGTCCCTCAGCTCTTCAGCTCAAGGCTAGAGCTCTACTACTAGAGCCACAGCGCCACTTCCAGTTTTTTCTCTGCTTATGTGGTGCTGAGGAATTGAACCCAGGGCCTCATGCATGTAAGGCAAGCCCTCTAACCACTGAGCCACCTTCCCAGCCCTTTCTTCAGATTTTATCAGGTGAACCTGACCAAAGTAGAGAGCCTGCCTATCAACTCTGTTTTTTTTCTTTTGTCGGTCGTGGGGCCTGAACTCTGGGCCTGGGTGCTGTCCCTCAGCTCTTCAGCTCAAGGCTAGTGCTCTACCACTTGAGCCACAGAGCCACTTCCTTAACTCTGTTTTTTGTTTTTTTGGGGGGAAATGGAGGCAAAAGTTGTTTGATGAGTAAAATATTAAAGAAAACAGAATTAATATTTTGACTATTGCTAGGCATGGCAGCCCACACTTAAAATCTTAGCTTTTGGGAGGCAGGAGACAGGAAGATTGTGTGTTTGAAGCCAGCCAGGGCTACAAATTGAGTTCAAAGCTAGTCTGGACTACAAGTCAGGCCCTGTATCAAAACCAAGCCAAAACAAACCAGAAAATCCATAACAAAATAAAAACAAAAAAATCCTAACACAAACAAAAAACAAAACACTCAATAATCTTAATTACTGATAAAAATTAGTTTTAACTGGTAGCTATTAAATGGACTGTGATAATTAGGTTTACAAAGTAGAAAAAAAATTCATAGATGTCTGCTTATCCTAGTAATAACTTTTGATTTCCTTTTCTATTGTCTGGCTGCCTGTTTCCTCCTTCCCTGTGTGTCTGATAATGAAACCTGCGTTAAAGACCCTCCTGTAGGGGCTGGGATGTAGCTCAGTGGCAAAGTGCTTGTCTAATAAGTATAACAGCCTGGGTTCAATCCCCAGTTTCAAAAAATAAACAACAACAACAAAAAACACACCCTGCTTTAAAGTTCTATTATAGCCAATTTATCTAAAGCACTCAGAGTCAAGGGACAATTCTACATTTGTTTCAATAGCTTTTCCTGAGAAATAATGGACATAGTGCATATTCTGGAGCAAATCTTTAAATTGTAAACATCTTAAAGGCTTAATTTACCATGTATTTCTTGTAGAGAGGGTGTCCTGGTTTGGGGCGAGGGGGTAGCACCGGATCCTGGCTTTTGAAAACTTGACTCTTGGCTTTTGAGAGTCCAGATGCCAAGTGACTTTGTTTTCTCTGAAGATCCATTTCAGAGGATGATCGGCTAAAAGGCAGTTTTTTACTTGATGTTTTGGTGGCAGAAAGTTTGGGGGGAGGTGGTCTCTCGGGGGCTCCTTTGGAAGGAGGCCGTCGAGTTGGAATGGCTTTTCCGTTTGCAGGTCTGAAAAGCAAGGCATCACCATGAGTTAGTGTTTTGATTGGCATTAGGTTCTGGTTTGTCCTTTTATTTTTTCTTTTCTAAACACACACATATAGCTTCTCTGCTAGTGGAATGCAGTATGCTGAAACCTGCAGGGCATGCCATTTTTGAGCTAATGACTGTTGCATTAAACATTATATTATTAGAGGAAATGGCAGCTTCCTCTTATTTTGCACTAGAGATTCATTAGCTCAAGACAAACAAGCGTTTACTATCACGAGCTCTCTAAGGCCCTCACTGCTCTTAAACACTCCATGACTGTTGCAGGAAACTAAGCACTCTCTACCAAGCCTCGGATGAACAGCTTATAATAAGCTCACAGGTGCACGTGCTAGAGTCTTGTGTAATTAGAAAAGGAACATCAAACTCCCCTAATGTTCCTGTTATAGGAGTTACTATTAAAACCTCAATTTAGATGAACATAAAACCAGTTCTGAAAATGAGACAGGTTAGTGATTCCTTCATCCTAGAGTAGAAAAAAAATTCACTGTGGCAAAGTGTTATGATAGCAACATGGCCATTTGTTCCAACAGCCCTGGAACTCAGCACCTAGTCACCTGGACATCCCAGAGCCTGTGGCCTTTTAGGAATTCCAAATACCAGGTCTGTCCCACTTAGCTGAGTATGTCTGTATTCCAGAAGTGGAGTTGTTTTGGGCTGGGAAGGTAGTCTTGTTCATTTATTTGAGGATAAGTAAAAATACTTGTTCTGCAAGGTAGAAAAAGGGGTTGAGGGGGTTTAGCTCAGGGAAGCGCGCCCTCCTGGTGAGCGCAAGGCCCTGAGTTTGGTCCTTACCTCTGGGAAAAAAAAGGGGGGGGGGAGGGATTAAGACTCTGAGCTGTTTTTCTTTTTGGTGCGGGTACTGGGGCTTGAACTGAGCCGTTTTTAGACTTATTGTTCCAGGTTGGCCCTCTATCACTTGAGCCACACCTCTACTGCTGGCTTTTTGGTAGTGAACTGGAAATAAGACTCTCACAGACTTTCTTGCTTGGGATGGCTCTGAACTGCAATCCTCATATCTCACCATCCTGAGAAGCTAGGACTATCAGCATGAACAACTAGTTATTACCTGGCTGAGCCATTAATTTTTCTCTAACATTCCCCATAGTTTATTTACCTTGGTGGCAACCTTGGGGGTCCTCGCATCAAACCTCCTGAATCACTGGCGTGGTCAGATTCCTACAAGAATAAAAGAATGTTTTTTTCACTCAGAGTTAATATAAAACATGAGCTGGTCTAAAGGCATTTTGGACAGCTTTCTAGCTGGGTTTGTGAGAGGAAGTATAGATGAGTTACAGAAAATAGCTGAAAAGACTTTTCAGATAAGCTATTAATTTATTACTCACTCCTACTCAATTGTCTGTCCTAATATAGGTTAAAAAAAAAAAAACTGCTAGAGAAAGAAACCAGTGTGTGTTGGCCTGATACCTGGTGATTCATGAGCTATGAAAGGGTGATGTGTAAATCACACTAGGTTAACTCAATAACAATTCAAGCAGGCACTGTAAGCAAATATTTGATATTTATCCATCCTAGTATACACAGGAAACACTCTGTTCCTGAGTTTAAACACATGCTAAGTGAAGTGGTTATTAGCTTGTTTTGCTTTGAACATGCAGATCTTTATCTCCTTCTGAGATGGCTTCAACATTTTGCAGTAGAGTTTGAACTGAAGCAGGTGGGGAATATAAAAGGGACATTAAGGAGTGTTGTGAGAGGATGCCATGGAGGGAGAAAGAGAGGTAAATACCACCACCGCAGGCGGTGGAATGGGCTGAGAAGTGTTTTATAGGGAAGAGTGGAGAGATAGGAAAACTGAAGGACAGATAGAGTAAGAATGTTAGTTTTTGTTTATTTTGTTGCCAGTCCTGGGGCTTGAACTCAGGGCTTGGGCACTGTCCTTGAGCGTCTTTTGCTCAAGGGTAGCACTCTACCACTTGCACCATAGCACCACTTCTGGCTTTTTCTGTTTATGTGGTAGTGAGGGATCAATCCCAGGGCTTCATGCATGCTAGGCAAGCACTCAACCACTAAGCCACACTCCCAGCCCCTAGAATGTTAAGTTTTTAGCTATCTATCTATCTACTTTTCTATCTACCTAACCTACATACCTAGTGCCAGTAGAAGAGCTTGAACTCAGGGCCTAGGCTTTGTTGTTTGGCTTTAGCGCCCGCTCAAAGCTAGCACTCTACCTCCTGAGGAGCAGCTTTTTGGTAGTAACTGGAAATAAGAGTCTCAAGAGCTCTCCTACTCAGGCTGGCTTCAAACCTCCATCCTCAGTTTATAGCCTCAGCAGCTAGGATCACAGGTGTACCCTACAGTGCCTGGCTTTTCCAGGAACTTGTGTGTGTGTGTGTGTGTGTGTGTGTGTAGGCAGTGGTTAATAATGGGGTTTGATCACATGGCCTGGGATCACAGGTGTACACTACAGTGCCTGGCTTTTCCAGGAACGTGTGTGTGTGTGTGTATGTGTGTGTGTGTGATCACAGGTGTACACTACAGTGCCTGGCTTTTCCAGGAACGTGTGTGTGTTAATAATGGGGTTTGATCTCATGGCCTGGGTGCTGTCCCTGAATCCTCTTGCTCAACGCTAGTACTCTACCACTTTCAGACTTCTCATGTTTTGAGTATTTTCAGGAGTATCTTTTGCTATTGAGTTCTAGTTTAATTCCATTATGGTATATTGAAATACAGGGAGTTATTTCAATTTTGTTGGCATTTTCTAAGATTGCTTCATGTTCTACAATAGTATTTATTTTGGAGAAGTTTTTGTTGGTTTTTGAGATTATATATCATGTAACTGCTGTAGATGTATTCTGTAGATGTCTGGTAAGTGCATTTGGTCTATGATGTCATTTAGTGCCGAGGTACCTCAAACAAAAACTTGTGGCCTTCTCCCCCAATTCCTAAATTCCTAACAACTTCTTTTCATTCCAACTATCTTATATTTTTCAGTCAGAATTTAAAACTTTTCTAAAAGATTTTTTCCTTTCCTACTTAGACAGTAGCATGACACCTATGACAAAATTTCCCCAAGACCTCATGAAGGAAGGGGATATCCTTGTAAAATTCAACTGCTACTTTTTTTTTTTTGTAAAGAGAGTTTAATCATATTTTGGGAAAATAGGAAAATTCAGATTATGAATGAGTTATAGCATACTTTTCTGATTTTAAATTCACTGAGCATTTATAACTTTTCCTTAAATTCTAAATGATTAATTGCCAATAACTGTGCTCATTTAAACATGTTTCAATGTTTTAAATCCCATTTTTAAAAACAAATTATGCCTGCCTTTAAAATTTGGTTTCACTAATGAGCTCAGTTAATGTAGTGAGGTGAATCACTAGTCCATAAACCCTGCAATATTCCAGTATGTAATCTGTCTTATAAATATGTTGCTACTTGTATTTTTTTTCTGAAAATGCTCCTGGAATAAAATGAAAATTTTTTTTCTCTTGGCCACATTTAAAATTACAGCAAGCAAAACAAACCCTAGCAGCTAGGGAGAAACTTTTTATGTATTTAATTTTGGCAGTACTGAGATTTGAACGCAGAACCTGGTACTTGCTTTGCTTGCTAGCTCATGGCTGGTGCTCTACCACTTGAACCTGCAGTCTGTTTTAGTTTAGTTTAGTTTTTTTTTTTTTTTCTAGTTAATTGGAGATGAAGTCTTTAGGAATTTTCTACCCGGGATGGCTTCAAATCTTAGCCTGCTGAGCAGCAGGTATTTCAGGAGTGAACCACTGGCAGCCGGTGGTTTTTTTTTTTTTTTTAAACTGTCTTTTCTTTTCTTCTTCTTCCCCTCCCCTCCTTCTCTTCCTGCCCCCGCCCCTCCTCCTCGGGATTGAACCCAGGATGTTGCACTTGCTAAGCAAGCGCTTTGCCACTGAGCTACATCCCAGCCCAAGTGGCGGTATTTTTGTGGAGGATCTTTTTAATTTCTTGATTTCCTATGATGAACAAATCTTAAATCAGAATTTCACCCACACTTCAGAGTTCTATGGCTGGTTCCTTGCGTGGGTTCTGCAGTGTCTCCCAACTCTCCTGCACAAGTTGGTGGTGTCGGTGAGGGATGCTTTTGAGAGTCTGTGCACCCACGTTCTATGTACCACAACAGGAACACAGAACAGCTGCAGCAGCTCCTGATGTGCACCTGGAGTCCCTCATTGTTTAAGTGAAGGTGACCAAGGCCTGGCAGCTGAAGCCATCCACCTGTAGATGGAAAGCTCCCCAACACTCATGGAGGGAGTAATGGTACAGGCTTTCCAGCCCTCATCTATACTTTTAGTCTTTACGGTCTGGTCACAGGTCCTTCTACAGCCCTTACCCACACCTCTAGTCCTTACGGTCTGATCTAAAATGCCTTTCGTGATTCTAATTCTCAAACAAGAGGACATGTGACTCAGCTTCGAGATAATCAGTGTGATTGTAAACAAATCGTTTCACCGGAGGTCTATTCTCTCTTGTTTTTTCAGAGTCTGGTGTCTGTACGGGTGTGCATTTGTGAAAGCACAAGCCACTCTAATGTCCTGTGTAAGTAGAGCAAGGCAGGCTTTGCCTTGGGTCGGTCACATGAGGCACACACACATGATGAATGGAGTATATGTCCACAGAATTTAGTTTAGTCTGGCTTCTTTTTCTTGTCTTCCTAGAATGTAGGAGTTGCTTGTGGACTACTTAACATTACATTTAACAAAAGCCCTATAAAGCTTTGTAGATTACTTACTGAATGTAAAAGCTCTTCTCCCTCTTCATTTATTTTTATTTTATTTTATTTTGTACCAGTGCTGGTGCTGGGACATAGGGCCTTAAAAATTTCACTCAAGGCTGGCTCTCTACTCCTTGAGGTATACCTTGATTTTTGGCTTTTTGGTAGTTGGGGATAAGAGACTCTCAGACTTTCCTCCCTGAAGTGGCTTTGATTTTGCAATGCTCACATCTCAGCTTCCTCAGGCACTAGGATTACAGGTGTGAGCCACCAGCTCCTGGCTTCTCTCTTCCTTTAATAATGCTCTCAGAGCAGAAGCCTGAAAGTTCAAGGAACTTTTCCTCCAGGGAAGTTTGGGATTTTCTCATTCAACATACAGCAGAGTGCTGCTATCTACTTATGGACTTTCTTAGTCCAGTTTTCATAAAAATTTATTACCAAGTCCTTTGAAAATATAAATGATGATTCAATTTTAATTCATCCTACAGAAAAATCTCATTAACTTGATACTAGCTAATTTAATCTAATGTCTCCTTCAAAGAAATTTCTCTTCACTAGATGATTAGATGAGTCTGTATGTATGATAAGCACAGCTAACACACAGTATAAACTATTATGATGTTTGAACTGAAAACTTGGTCCAAAGATACTAAAAATGTTTTTCTCTTGAACAAGCCTTAAATATCATTTACCAAGTGGAATTTTTTAAACATAGGAAGGAATGGTATTAGAGTTGACACCATGGGGATGGCAATGTGGCTTAGCTGCCTAGCAGGCATGGAGCCCTGGGTTCCATTCCTCAGCACAACATACACAGAAAAAACCAGAAGTGGCTCCACTTCTGGTGACAGTTTTGGCAGTCTTGAGCACAGAGAGACTCTGGGACAGAATCCAGGCCATGAGTTCAAGCCCCAAGACCAGCAAAATAAACTAAAGTTGCCATCATGTAGGTGTGTGGATTTAATCTTAATCCTAAGAGATGTACAATAAAGCATTATCATCACGTGTGTGTGTGTGTGCGCTCCATTGGCTTAAATTCAGAGCCTGGGTGCTATCCCTGAATTTTTCTGCTCAAGGCTAGCATTTTACCACTTGAGTCACAGCTCTACTTCTGGCTTTTTTTAAAACTGAGGATTGTGGTGGTAGTAGTTAATTGGAGTCTCACAGACTTTCCTACTTGGGCTAGCTTCGAACCCCAATACTCAGATTTCAGCCTCCTAAGAAGCTACGATTACAGGCATGAGCCACCAGTGCCTGGCCTCATTTTTTAAAACTAATTTTTCCCCTTAAATTTCAGATTGAGCTAAGGACACATGTGGTTTCCACCTGTAATCTTAGCTATTCAGGAGGCTGATAATTGAGGATCATGGTTTGAATCCAACTCAGGCAGAAAAGTCTGTGAGACTCTTATCTCCAATTAACTACCAAAAAGCCAGAATAGACCTGTGGCTCAAATGATAGAGTACTAGTCTTAAGCAAAAAAAGCTAAGGGATAGTGCCCAAGATCTTAACTGAGTTCAAGCCCCAGTACTGGTCCAGAAGAAAAAATTGAGATTGAAAAATTCTTAGGGTAATTATCTTAAAAATCATATTACTATTTGGCTAGTTTCAATAAAAGGTGACAATCTGACTAAATCTACTTCAATAAATATAAAAAGTTTTGTTTTCCTTGGTGTTTACTATAGTTTACACTCAGGGCCTTACCCTTGCTAGGCAGGTGTAATACCATTTGAGCCACGCTCCCAGGCCTCAAGATTTCTTTTTTAATAACTTCATTATTGGTACCTTTAAAATATGCCCTTATTTTATGGCAAAACATAATGAATTACTCTCACTTTTCTTTTCCTCTTTTCTTTTGGTCGTGGGGCTTGAACTCTGGGCCTGGGCACTGTCCCTCAGCTCTTCAGCTCAAGGCTATCACTCTACCTCTTGAGCCATAGAGCCACTTCCGGTTTTCTAGTGGTTAACTGGAGATGTACATGAGGGCTAGCAATTTTTCTTTTTTTTGACACATATCTCACTACGTGGTCCAGGCTGGTCTGGAACTTGAGATCTTCCTACCTCAGCTTCCTAAGTATTGAGATTACAGCAAGGCCATCATGCCCAGTAGCAACTGGTTTCTAGTGTAAGTTTATTTTTCAAATTTCCTTTTTTAAATAATGTAGACATCAGCTGAATGTTTAAATTTAGTACATGGTTCTGTCTCCCACCTAACACAACCTGTAATGATAACTTACCGAATTTCTACTTCTGTCAGCATTACTGAATTTTGCAGACACTGTACTGTATGTGTTTCCAATAGGCTTTTCAGCAGGGAGTGGAGGTGGAGTTTGTGGTTCCTCAAGTAAACCTGGAAAAAGTAGCAGCGATTCATTAGTAATGTCTCGTCTGGCATTTCAAAGTGAATGATGTAGTTTGGCTCTAAAGGAAAATGGTGGTCACACAGAATTCCTGGCAGAACAGATACTTAAGCAAATGCCAAAGAGCTCTCAAAAACTTCAGAAATCTGAGATATTAATCAACATCAGTTCATTTTATTGGATGATTTTGTGTGTGTGTGTGTGTGTGTGTGTGTGTGTGTGTGCACATGCTCATGTGCGCATGCACCAGTCCTGGGGCTTGAACACAGCTTTTTTGCTCAAGCACCTACCACTTGAGCCACAGATCTACTTCAGGCCCTTTTGGTAGTTAATTGGAGGTAAGAGTCTCATGGACTTTTCTGCTACGGCTGGCTTCAAACCACAAAGCACAGATTTTATTCTCCTGCGTAACTAGGATTATAGTCATGGGCCACCGGTGTGGGCTACTGTATGTTTTATAGAGTGAAAATAATACTAAGTAATTAAATAGCATGTTAAGAGCCTTATATGTACCAGATACTTAACTCAGGCACTTTATTTGTAACATTTCTCCAACCAAAATCTAGTCCTACTTTTGTCTATAGTCTACTAGCTAATAATAATCACATGTGGCAATTTATCCTTAAACCTCAATTAATTAAAATGAAAGAAAATTAACATTTCAATCTATCACTTGCACCACCCACATTTCCTGTATGCAGCAGCACCTTGAATACAGAGGCTTCTTATGGCCAGCACAAATATGGGACATTATCATCTTCATAGAAAGTTCTAGACAGTGGCATTCCAGACAATATCCTGCATACTTTATAATGAAGAAACTGTTAGTAATTGTCTATTTTTTTTTCTTCTTTAGAACCTGAAAGTCGGTGCTCATCCTAATAGTAGGTTGTATACCTAACCCTTTCTGGTCCAAATTAGGTTTTCTAAATCATTAGTTTAGATTAATGAACATAATTAACCTCAATTAAACAAATGATACTTTTACATACAAACTGCATCCATTTCTCAGCAACAGTGTCCTTCTATCTTACTTTAATGGAAGAAAACAAAGATGACTAGATATAATGAGGGTCAGATAATTGACACCAGGGAACAAGAACACCTGGCGAGGAGAGGCTGACTGTCAGATGCTGAGAAGGACAAAGCTTTCTCCTACACTGGTCGCTGGAGCACTGGAAGGAGGCAGATACACACAGCACTTCGTAAGTGAATGCTCTGCCTTCATGTCACATGGAAAACCTAGAATAGGGGATGATTTATGTATGCCCTGTAATAGCCACTGACAGGAAACATTTCATTTTAATTCTTTTTTTTTTTTTTTTTTGGGTCCGGTTGTGGGGCCTGAACTCTGGGCCTGGGCACTGTCTCTTAGCTCTTCAGCTCAAGGCTAGCACTCTACCACTTGAGCCACAGGCCACTTCTGGATTTTTTCTTTTTGCTTAGGTGGTGCTGGGGAATCGAACCCAGGACCTCATGCATGCAAGGCAAGCGCTCTACCACTGAGCCACCTTCCAGCCCCTCCTTTTTATTCTTTTATTCCTTGGGATCACCAATTGTTTTGGAAGATGGTATGTGTACCTTAAATAAATGGCCAAGGTATAACCAAGCAGAAGCTAGGGAGAAAGAGAATTTCAAAAGGAAAACAAAAGTAGGAGTTCATGATGTAAGAGGCTCCAGTGTGTTTATGTGGGACAAATGACATTTCTCTTCCGACTACTTATGTAACATCTCCTGTAACAAGTAGAGTAATAGGATAAACAACAACAGAGAAATGAAGTTAAATATTGAAGATGAGCTTTTCTTTAAAAGCCAGTGGCTCAAATATACACCTCATACATTTTATTTTATTTTATTTTATTTTTTTTGGTCATGGGGCTTGAACTTTGGGCCTGGGTGCAGTCCCCTCAGCAATTCAGCTCAAGGCTTGAGCCACAGTGCCACTTCCAGCTTTCTGGGTGGTTTACTGGAGGTAAGAGCTTCATGAGACTTTCCTGACGGGCTGGTTTTGAACCATGATCCTCAAATCTCAGTCTCCTGAGTAGCTAGGATTATAGGCATGAGCCACCAGCAGCAGGCATCTATTTTAAAGGTATAAATTCTTTCCACCCAGCAATACGAATTGAAAAATTAATGTACATTTCTGATCTTATACATTTTATTTATATAAATAAACATATACATATATAACAATAAAATAATAATTAATAATAAATTATATATATTAATAAAAATTGTCCCAATGAACTCGAGTCTGTAAGATGGGGTCTAGGAAATATTTTCAAAGGGAGGAAAATGCTGGGCACTGAATGCTCACACCTGTAATCTTAGCTACCCAGGCTCAAATCTGAGGATTGTGGTTCAAAGCCAGCCTGGACAGAAAAGTCCAAGAAACTTATCTCCAATTAACCACCAAAAAAACATGGAAGTGAAGCTGCAGTTCAAGTGGTAGAGCAAGAAAATCTCAGAGCTAGCACTCAGGACCAAAGTTCAAGCCCCAATACCAGTACACACACTCAAATAAATATTACTGTGATTAAAAAAATTATTTAGCAATAGCATCATAATAAAAAGCAAGTATTGCTATAGCTGGGTGCCAGTGTCTCAAACTTGTAATCCTATTGGGCTCTGAGGTTAAGCCTTAGCACTGGCACACACACATGCCCAAAAGGTATCATCTGTTTTTAGACCTTTTGGGTACATGGATTTTGTGTGTGTGTATGTGTGTGCACATGCACACTCACCCCAATTCTAGAGCTTGAACTTAGGGCGTGGGCACTGATCCTGAGCTTTTTGGTTCAAGGCTGGTTCTCTACCACTTGATCCATAGCTCCACTTCTGGCTTTTATGGTAGCTAACTGGAGATGAGTCTCATAGACTTTCCTGGCTGGACTGGCTTTGAACCACAACCCTCAGATCTCAGCCTCCTGAGTAACTAGCATTATAGGCATGAACCACTCATGTCCAGCTTGGGTACAGGTTTTTACATAATCTATACCCAAACATATTTAATAATGCTGATAGGAATAGTATTTTTCTGATAGACATTGATAACTGTGCTATTCATTTAAGTTACTTCCCTATCTTTTTTTTTGGGGGGGGGTCCAGTCATGGGGCCTGAACTCTGGACCTGGCGCTGTCCCTCAGCTCTTCAGCTCAAGGCTAGCACCCTACCACTTGAGCCACAGCGCCACTCCGGCTTTTTCCTTTTTGCTTATGTGGTGCTGAGGAATCGAACCCAGGGCCTCAAGCATGCAAGGCAAGCACTCTACCACTGAGCCACCTTCCCAGCCCCTTACTTCCCTATCTTTACAGAGGTGATAACATGAATATTAAGACTGTCCAGAGATCCAATCTCTTTCTGCTTTAAACAACCTTAAAGAAACATGAAATGCAATTGTGAGAAAACAATTCCTTCTAAATGTCCATGACTATGAATAATAAGTGTCAGTTACATTGGTAAATAAGTATTTCTCTCTCAGGCTCTTGTACAAGCAAATAAAGATAGCAGAGTGCTTACATTTTCCTGGTTTAGCGGGGATCCGAATGACAGTGGGCTTCCTGGTGGTTGCTGGTTGAACTGACCTTTCTTTTGTTGCTTCTGCTTTTGTGGGGAGCTGAAAGGGATCTAATGAAAAACATAGTTTATTTTACATGTTTTAGTTAACAAGGACTCAAACAAAAAAACCTCATTCATAATTTAAGAGTTCTATTTTTCATGCCCCAGGGAAAGCTATTCAGGGATAAACAAAATCTCAGTTTGCAGAGACCAAAACAAAGTTGGAACTCATAAAAAGGAAATAATTTAGTGCTCTGTAAATAATTCATGTCACTTTTCTTCCTCTGATGAGAGATCCAGGACAATCCTGAATAGAGATGCTGCATTTCAGGGGAGTCTAATCATTTAATAAGTGTCTTATGAAAATGAGGGGTTGGGGCTGGGAAGGTGGCTCAGTGGTAGAGCGCTTGCCTTGCAAGCCTGAGGCCCTGGGTTCGATTCCTCAGCACCACATAAGCAAAAAGAAAAAAGCCGGAAGTGGTGCTGTGGCTCAAGTGGGCTCAAGAGGGCCCATGCCCTCTCCCCTGCCCCCCCCATGCCCATATCCTGTGTCCCAGGAAATAAGGATTCTTCTCTGAGCCTGCTCATGGGTTCACCAAAGTCCCTCATCCTTCAGTGCCAGCTGGCACAGGGAAGGGGTTCACAAATCTCTGACTGGGTAATTAATTTATTAAGACTGCTCTTCAGTAAAAGGAGAGTGGTACACGTGTTACTCCAGACATAAAATAAGGCATCTTCCTTCCAATATTTAATAATTTGGGGGCAAGAATATATGTCTTGGCCTTTTTCCATCCTAACTGATTTATTTTAAATGCACAGTATCTATGTATCTATGTAGCTATCTATGCATCTAGGAAAAGTGTTTTAAACAAAAGCATGACTATACAATTACTATTTTTTAATTCAAAGTCTCTTTAAATGTTTTTCTCAGTGGTTTCAGTGGTTTGGAAAATGACTAAAGAAACCTAAAAATAAGTAGATTAGCCAGAAGAAAAAAATAAAACGCTTTGTGAAAGATACTCTATGTAGCCCAGAACACTGCCTTTGTTCCACATGAGACGGATGGGGTAGTATCTAATTCCACCGGTTCCATGCACTAGAGGTTGGTAAGATACTACTCTAACCTTCACATGTCCTTCACGTGAACAGGATATACCTTCTACCTGTGACCAGGTGCAGTTCTAGAGGCACCTTCAGCTGACTGGCTCTTGTGGGATGTAGGAATTAAGCTAAAAATCAAAAGTCCTTACTCCTTCTTTCCCTCTCAGGTAACCACCATCATCCCTGACAATGGCCTCTCTCTCCCAACTCCCCCACCTCTATCAGTCATTGGGCTTGAACGCGGGGCCTAGATACTGTCCTTAAGCCTCTTTGTTCAAGGTTAGTGCTCTACTACTTTGAGCCACAGCTCTACTTCTGGCTTTCTGGTGGTTAACTAGAGATAAGAGTCTCACAGATTTTCCTGCCGGGGCTGGCTTTGAACGGTGATCCTCATAGCTAGGACTACAGAAGTGAGCCATCAGCATACAGCTTCTCTTTCATGTTTAATACTATTAGTTATTCTTTAACTGGCACTAAGATCATGTGTAGTTATCCTACTAAACAGTCTCTGTTAAAAACCCCTCCTTTCTCCACCCAGAGAGGCAAGGAGATCTTCCATGCTGCTCCTGCAGACTGTCTGGCAACAATGATATACTGCGTGATGTACCCCAGCTGTGTGCAGTCAGCAAGCCTGGCATCCATCCCTCAGTCTGCACCATGTCCCTGGCCGAGCTCTTGTGAGGAGGGGGAGGCAGATGCCTGGTTTTCATCTCAATGGTAGTGCGGGTTTCTTCCTCTCTGCCCAGAATTAACCTTGCCTATTTTTTTTTTTTTTGGCAGTTTTAGCATGGGACTAAGACCTTATGCATACTACAGCATTTCTCACACTCACTCCTTAAATCTTTGCATGCAAGCCATCTATGACTGCTTGCTGTTGCTACTACAAAAGTGATAGGACATCACAAGAATTGCCAGCCCAAATCTATGGAAAGTCAAGTGTGCCATTTTCCTCTACTTTGGTTCAGTTACACCTCCTTCCAGTCCCTCACACCAACACCAGATAGTCTGGATCTGTTGCGACTTGGTTTCATTATTGGATTGAGAAAATCACTGATGATAAAGTAGTCCCCCCCCCCATCACCTGCCTCTGATAATAGGCTTTGTTATCCTAATTAGTTTCCCCAGCCCACACAAGCTTCTCTGTCATTTCTCCCCCTCTTGAGTTGTGTTACTAGCAGCAACTGGCTGCTAAACTACTGTTCTGATCTGTGCGATGGGGCTGACAGCAGAGCCTTTTATGACAAGTGGCTAAGATTGTAAACTTGTGAAGCAGAATCACTGATACTTCTGCAAAGCATTCTGGCCAAGAAATGAATCCAATGTTAAATTGCCTGTTTTCTGAGTTTTCCCTTAAAATTATGTATCTATATATGTATATATATAGGTTTATATCTATATATATAAAATACACACACACATCATTTTTTTTGCCGGTCCTGGGGCCTAAACTCTGGGCCCAGGGCACTGTCCCTCAGCTCTTCAGCTCAAGGCAAGTACTCTACCACTTGAGCCACAGAACCACTTCTGGCTTTTTCTGCTTATGTGGTGCTGAGGAATCGAACCCAGGACCTCATGCATGCAAGGCAAGCACTCTACCACTGAGCCACTTTCCCAGCCCTCACAAGGTTTTCATAGCCTTCTAAGCTGTATTCCTTGAGATGAATATCATAACTGCACTTTTCTGAATACTATTTTTGGTTAAGGTTTCCTATATTGTTGAGAAAAGATTATTGAGAAAGTTATCTGTGAGCTTCCTTTCTCCAGTGTTTTTCTCTCTCAGTTTCTGGCTGATCCTATCTGGCCCATATCAGACAAAAGTTTTCACAAAAAGAACATGATCTTTTGTTTACAGTGACAATGTCATGGAAATGTCATCAGAGTCACAAAGCCCCAAATCAATAAATAAAAATCCCTCCTGAAATCCTGAAGGCCTTTGGAAAGCAACAAGCAGGCAAGCCACAGGACCTGTGTGAGCACTAGAAAAAATCTCTAGGGCAGCCAACTCTATATGGAGGAACTTCAGAGGGCTCTATTTAGGAGGCAGCTGCAGGAATCTGAGCATAAAGGTTGAATGTGGGAAAAAACAAGGAGAGATGGAAATGAGAGGCAGATTCAAGAACTATTCATGGCCAGGTACAGAGACTCACATCTGTACTCTTGTGTCTTGAATCTCAGGGCGGAGATCAGAAAGATCATGGTTTAAGGTCAGCCTGGATAAAAAATTAACAACATCCAGTTTCAACAAATGAGCTGGGTATGGTGGCAAGAGCTTGTAATATCAGCTACAGGGGAGATATAAATAATAGGATTGTAGTCCCAAGCTGGTCCAGACAAAAGATGTAAGCCCTACCTGAAAAAATAACTAAAACATATAGATGTGGAGGTGTGGCTAAAGTGGTAGAGGGCCTGCCTAGCCAAAGGGAGGACTTAAGTTGAAATCTCAGTACTGCAAAACAACAACAGTTCAATAGGCAAAAGTAAACACACTAGATGGTAAAAGACAATATTCTGGGACATGATAAATTATACAGGCCTCTAGACATTCACAGTGAGACCAAAGGAGGAACACAAGGGTTGAATAACTATGTGCATATGACCATATAAAATAATATTTATCAAAATGAATTCCAAGAAATGGAAACAAACATTGTTTCTTTTTTCTTTGTTAATATTTTGTTTTCTTTACCTTTTGCCTTGTTTGTTAGTTTATCTGTCTCTGGGAGGTTAATGGGAGGCTTGGAAAGGGTGAGGGACAGAGGGTGAACAAATGCAGCAGAGGTACTAGACACTATGTTGAAAATGAACTATACAACTTGTGGCTGGTGACGGGAGGGAAAAATTGGGAGAGAGAGAGAAAGAGGGAAAGAATGACAATGTTAAAAAAGAAATGTACTCATTACTTATATAACTGTAATCCCTCTGTATATCACCTTTACAATAACAATTAGTATATATAAACAAAAAAAATTCAGTAGGCAAAACCCAGCAAGTGTGTATAACTTATTGGATGTGAAGGTAGAGAAGTAACAGATATTACTAGAAGCTAGGCATTGGCTCACGCCTGTAATTCTAACTACTCAGGAGGCTGGGATCTCAGGCTCATGGTTCAAAGCCAGCCTGGGCTGGAAAATCCATGAGACTCTTATTTCCAATTAATTACCAGAAAACCAAAAGTGGAGCTGTGGCTTAAAGTGCCAGAGTCTACCCTTGAGCAAAAAGAGCTCAGCCGAGTTCAAGCCCCAAGACCACCACCACCACACCACCAACAAAAATTTCTAGGAAGTGACCACTTTGTCTCAGTCTGAAGGTTTTCTGCACAATGACAGTCCTTGCAGTGCTCTCCACGTGGAGACTTATTATGGCATCTGTTAGATGAGCAAACCTAGGCCCTGCCAGGTTAAGTAAATTGACCCAAGTCACAAGTTACAAGGTAATTGTGGCAGAGCCTAACAGACTAAACAGCAAGCCTATATTTCTCCATCTGTGTAATGGAATGGTTAAGGAGGCGTTAAATACACAGGACGGGTACAGGTGTACAAAGAAGATACTCAGTTCAGTTAACTCCACACTCAAGAGCAATGGCTAAAGGCAGGCAGGTCAAACCAATTACACATTTTGCTAGAAGACTACCCTACTAATTAAATGTTGTGCAATGAAGTAGGAGAAATGAAAACACTAAGGCTGGGGATGAAACACACCCTGTATTCATGCTGAATGTACTGTGGACCTTCCTTCTGGAAGACGACTATAATTATCTATCTGTCTGATGGTACAGAATAAATTCTTAGTACTTATTAACTAGGTTACCAATCCCATAGATTCTAAATAAGGGTAGTATTTCTTTGTGCTGCATGGTTTCTGTTTTGTAACTGTTTACTGCTATTGGGTTTACCCATCCCTGCATTCCTCTGAGGCTTGCAACAGGAAAAATATTGAAACAAGAAAATGGAGCTACTAGTACTAGTGGCTCACACTTGTAATTCTAGCTCCTCAAGAGGCTGAGAAGTGGAGGATCTTAGTTCAAAGCTGGTACTAGCAGAAAAGTCTGAGAGACTATATCTTCAAAATAATCAGCAAAAAGCTGGGCTGGAGGTATAGCTCAAGTGGTAAAATGCCAGCAGAATAAGTAAATTGAGCAGGTATGAAGCCCTGAACTTAAACTCCAATATTGGCAGGAAAAAAGGAGAGAAAATATTAACAAAGACATTCTTAAGTGTTGCTTGGTTTAAGGAGTCCTGAAAATGCTGCATAGTAAATGTGAAAAATAAACTTGATTTAGGATAAAAAGGTACATTTGAATCTAGGCTTATAAAACTGTTAGCTCTATGGTGGTATGCATTGATCTCCCTCAGCATTATTTTCTTCATTTAAAAACTGGGACCAGTTATTTGCTGTATCAAAGAATGTCTGAGTGGGACACTAGTGGTTTCACCTGTAATTCTTGCCACCTGGCTGACATCTGAGCATCAAATTCAAAGCCAGGCCCAGTAGCAACATCTATGAGATTCTTATTTCATCCAATTAAGATTTTTTTTTTTTTTTGAGTCTGGTTGTGGGGCCTGAACTCTGGGCCTGGGCGCTGTCCCTTAGCTCTTCAGCTCAAGGCCAGCACTCTACCACTTGAGCCACAGCGCCACTTCTGGCTTTTTTCTTTTTTTGCTTATGTGGTGCTGAGGAATCGAACCCAGGGCCTCATGCATGCAAGGCAAGCGCTCTACCACTGAGCCACCTTCCCAGCCCAAGAATTCTTATCTCTAATTAACTTATCCCAGTCCCTGAGTTCAAGGCCCAGGACCCGCAATAGATTTGGATGTTTTTTTCTTCCAGTCTTTGGGGACAAGAGCTATGTCTTTTTATAGGCCATAGCCAGTTTCAAGGTTATGTGCTTTATAAACATTTCATAAATATGCTTGCTATTTGTAACTTTATATGTTTACATACTTGGCCTAAAGAAGTAAACAGTCGTAAAAGGAATCTTATCAAAGACAAGTAGATTAGCTTAGTTTGGCAAATCAGAGATAAGCTTTACTTCTGGAAGAGCCTGAGGAAAGAAATCATATTTTCTGTCTCTTGGAAATTTAATTGTTCTGATCTTGGGAGCCAGCTTACAACTGCTGAATTTTATTTATAAAAATTTGTGTTCCCAAGGGAAGATGCTAGTGAAGGTGGCAGGAAAAGTCTTACAATGAAGATTACAGGAAAAAAAAAAAATCTTGCAACCTGCGGTGGGGTTCTGGGTCTTATGGAAGTCTCCACTTGGCCAAACACCTCCCCCCACCTCCTTACGCCCTCACACTCTACCCCTCCCCCCGCCCTGCACCAGCTAGACTATGGCATGCTTCTATCTATGGGAAGCTGCTACCTTATTCTAATGCCACATCCTTCCAGCCTTCCTCCATCCTTTGAATGTAAGAACTGAACACCTGTCAGTGTAAAAGAAACTAGCCTCACAGCCTGATGAGTACGTGGTCCCAGTCCCGTTACTTTGAGGCAAAGTAATAGTAATCATTGAATTCCAGCATCTCTCCTTTCTCCTCAATATTTATAGCCAACTTATTAACATAACAAAAGATTTGGTCTCGAAACTTGCAAAATATAAATATTATTATCAACAAATGAAAAAGTTAAAGCAAATAAAACCATAACTGCCACAAGGATAGGAAATAATGACTTGAAAATAGCTATACACAATAGTGCTACTTTTTGAATAAAATTATGGAAACAAGACATACATCTATTTACAGAAAAGTAAATCCTAAAAAGAACTGAAAAAGTATGGAAAATATAGGGGGGAGGATGTAGGGCAAAGAAGAAATGATCAAGAAAATTCTCATCTTGATTAAGGGGTTAGATAGTGTTAATCAGGACTGAATTCAGAAATGGTAGCATAAACACATTATCTAGAATGAAGAAGATAGTTATCACAACAGCAGACATCCTAAGATTGTTGCTTTCAGACAAAATTAGAAGGCATAAAGTAGGAGACTGGTCCGGCTTAATAAAAAATCATTTATGCTATTGCTGTCTCTATGTTTGTTTTATTTTTATTTACTTCTGGGCATTGTCCCTTAGTTTTTTTGCTCAAGGATGACACTCTACCATGTGAGCCACAGCTCCATTTCCAGCTTTTGTGTGTGCATGTGTGGCTAACTGGAGATGAGAGTTTCAAGGACTCTCTTGCCTGGGCTAGCTTTGAACTGCAATCCTCAGATCTTAGCCTCTGAATAGGCAGAATTGCAGGTGTGAGCTACCACTATCTGGTCTTCTCTGTTTATTAATTTCTTTGTTCACACACACACACACACACACACACACCCCTTTCACACTTAAGACAAGTGTGACTCAAGATACCTCTGATGTGTGTAGTTCTCCCCCACTTACCTAGAACCATTTCTGAACCAACACATTCTTCAGCTGGGTTCCCAGACGAGGTGGGCAAAACATCATCATCAAAGCTGATGAGGTCTATGTCCCCCAGGGGCCGGCTTGGCAGAGCTGGGGCTGGAGCATTAGCCAGGGCTCCTTCTCCCAGTGACCTGAAGTCTTTGGCTTGTGATGACACCAAGAGTCCAGAAGGAACAGGGCTGGGTTTTGGAGGAACTGAAGGGCAGGTGGGGTTTTCAGAGGAAACTGATTTCTTCGGCAGCAAAGGCCGAGGGGCAGGAGTTGGGACTTTTTTCCCTACACCAGCACTCTCAGCCGGGAGACCCCCACCCAAAATCTCATGATTAACACTTCGAATAAGGCCAGGAGTTGGTTTCTTTGGCAATTCAGGTTTGGTTACAGGGATGTTTCCTGCTTCCTGTGGTGGCAAGTATGGAGTGAGCCCTTGCCTGGAGGTCACTTTGAGTCTGTTTTCAGTCCAAGTGTCCCAGTCTCCCAGAGCTGTGCCAGCACCTGGTTTGGGGGCCACACATGGTTTTCCTGAGGAAACGGCTGGCTTTGGGGGGAGTGTGCGAGGGGTAATTTCTGGTTTCTTAGGCAGTGCCGGGGAGGTTTCCACATTGGTTTGACCCTCAAATGCTTTGACTCTCGAAACAATACTATTTTGGCTTTGCTCTGGGTTCATAGTGTACATCACTGCCTGACTATCCAAGTCGTTGGTTCTGTCCAGCAGAGATGAGGACCAGCCTGGGGATGACGCCTCTTCGGGGTCCACTGAGCTGTTTTTCTGGTGATTTTTTTCTCTAATGTTAGTCTCTCTGGCTGCTGGTCTGAGGTTGTTTTTTGATCTTGGCCTTGGCACTGGACATCTTGTAGCACTGGGGTTTCCTGGACAGTTCTGTTCTTCAGGAATATCAAAGACTATAAGGGGGGCTGTATTCCTCTGGAGATCAGCGGGTAAGGCTGCTGGGGAAGGCTGCAGTGAAGCCTGTCGTGCTGGAGATCCAAAGGAACAAAAAGGAATGGCAGTGTTAGAAGTGAATAGAGAGACTTCCAGAAGACACACGGATCTTTTAAAAACAATCATAGGCTCCAAAGAGATTGGGATTTCCCTGCTTGGGAAAAAGTGATGGAAAAACCACTGGGGAAATATTAAATTTCTCCACCAAATTCTGGATTCTCATTAGACATCAAACAAACCATTTCTATCTGATTTTCAAAATGTCAACATCTTCTTTTCTTTTACAAAGCAACTTAGCCCTTACTGTTACACTAATAGAATACTTTAAAAAGTTTTGTTTTCTCTCCTTTCCTCCCTTCAAAGTATAAGAGATCAAACTCAGGTCAAACCCTTGCTAGGCAAGCAATCTACCACTTAAGTCACACATCCAGTTCTTTATTATTCTGGGAGAGTCTTAAGATCACTTTTCCAGGGTTGACTTGGGGTTGTGATCCTCCTATCTCTGCCCCTTGAGTAGCTAAGGTGAAAGGTACAGACCCCCATGTTCAACTTCTTTATTTTTACGGGGGACAGTAGTACTGGGATTTGGAGTCTCATGCATGCTGGAAACAATTTATCACTTGAGCCACGCTTTAGTTATTTTTTTGGATAGGGTCTCCAATTTTTGTCTGGGCCAGCCTGGACTGTAATCATCCTATTAACAACTCTTACAGACCTAAGTTAATAGGTATGCATCACCTTGCTCAGATTTTGGTTTAGATGGGGTCTAACTTTGTGTCTGGGCTGGCCTTGATCCTCATTCCTCCCAGTTTTTGCTTCCCAAGGAGTTGAGCCACCTACTACCCCCTGACCCCAGCTATTTTTATTTTTGGAGCTACTTTTTTCCAATTAAATATTTTTTTCACCCCTTTCTACAATTTTTTTTTAATGAAAAAGATTGAATGCACTTTGAGGGTGGGTCAGTTGTAGAGCTTGAACTCTGGGCCTGGGTGCTGTCCCTCAGCTCTTCAGCTCAAGGCTAGCAATCTACTACTTGAGCCACAGCGCCACTTCCAGTTTTCTGGTGGTTAATTGGAGATAAGAGTCTCACCAACTTTCCTGCCCGGGCTGGCTTTGAACCTAAATCCTCAGCTCTCAGCCTCCTGAGTAGCTAGGATTACAGGCATGAGTCACCAGCACCAGGCTAAGATGTACTTTTTGTGTGTGTGTGCTTATACTGGGGCTTGAACTCAGGGCCTTAAGCAATTGCTTTCCATTTTTGCTCAAGGCTAATAATCTACACTTAAACCCCACCACTTCCAGCTTTGCAGTGGTTAACTGGAGATAGGAGTCCTCTGGGCTTTTCTGTCCAAGCTGGATTTGAATTATGATCTTCAGATTTCAGCTTCCTGAGTAGCTAGGATTGCAGGTATGAGCCATTACTGTCCAACCTAACTTGGGTTTTAAGTCAGGACTCGGTGCTTGTTAGGAAGGCACTTTTGCCACTTGTGCCAGGCTTCTGGCCCTTTATGCTTTTATCTGTTAAATAGGGTCTCATTTTTGTTTTCTTTTTGCCCCCTCTGGACTGGATCACAATCTTGCTATTTATGCTTCTCTCACAACTGGGATCACAGACATACACCAGTGATTGTGGCTTGTGAACTTCTTTCCTTAGGCTGGAGATTGTTCAATCTTCGTATCCTATCAGACTGAAGTTGCTAAGTATAAAACCCTTCTCAATGGGAATAAAAGGAATCCACAATAACATGTGCCATGAGTTAGACGGATGATGTTTCTGTGATATTAAATAGGACAAGCCCAAGAGAGTGGGACTGCAGCTGTTAGGAATGATCTATTATAATAACCACTACACTCCAAATGAAGCAGGCACACAGTGATCATAATGAGTACGAAGCAGAGCTCCATAAATTATCCACAAATCACAAATGATGGGAAAGGCTAGGAGCCTCCTGATTACTCCCCTAGATCTAGGTCAGAATCAGGGAAGTCAGATTCCTTGCATTACTTTGAGGCAGACTGTTGTCTATTTCTTCTGGGAAGTCGGTCTGAGTGGCAGAAGTGCTAGTGCTCCTCGGTGTGGCAGCAGCATTGTTATTGTTTGTAGTATTAACTTGAACTTGGTTGATTTCTTTTATGACTTGCTCATATGAAGGTGGGAGCTGCAAAATAAAGAATGAAAATTTTAGACTTCTGGAGGCCATAGCCAAGAGGCTGAGAGGTTTGATTTTTTTTTCAATCTTTGAAATTAATTAAAAAAATAAAATGAACTCTTTAAGATACATTGTACTCATACATTGACAGGTTGAGTTGAAACCCCTTTGTACAGGCAAGGATGAGGCATTTCCTTACCTCTGCAGGAACTAGCTCATTTGGTCTCCAAGGGCCTGATGCGGGAGTAGGTGGGAACCCCAGTCCTGGGGGTGTGGCTCCTGGGAACCAGGAGGCTGGCCTCAGAGGCTCTGCAGCCACGATGGTGATCTCCGGGCGCCTGAAGGACAGAAGATCCAGTGAGATTTTTGCTTTTGCAGGTTATTACCAAGTTATTGTCTATTAGAAAATGTCCAAAGAATCAGGGAGATACCCACTACACAATAAGGCAGTGGGAACTACCACAGTCATAGAAATAAGTTTTCTGGCCTAGATGGTCTACTAGTGCAACCAGGTAGGCTTTAAGGGACCCAACGGTGGCCATTCCCCATTGCCATGGCTGTTTCCAAAGAGCTGAAGATGGAGCCTGAGCACATTGAACTCTGCTAGATTAATTAAGGCCCATAGTTTCTTTATTCCAGGGCTCCAGTGCTGTCTAGCATATAGCAAATGTGTGGCCAATGATGGGAAAATATACTGGTCAATGGAATGGTTTAATTTTCTGTTAATATAAAGTACATACTGAATCTATCCATCCGTCATCTATCTGTGTGTCCATTAGTCCTTTCATTTACTATGAAGCTACTCTCTCCTCCTTCCTTCTTCCCAATCAACTATCCACCATTCATCAATTCAGCCACCTACCTAGCCTGCTGTCTCTTTTCCATTTTCTTTTTCTTCTGATCAATTTTCTATACTGTCATCATCTACTTATCTAGGCTACATTTATTAAGGGACTCTGAGGTACAAAGCATTTCTGAGAGGCAGTTAAAATGCTTTATCTGTAGCAGTTGTTTAATAAGCACTTTAAAAAATTGAGTTCAACAAATAATTACTCAAAAGATCACCTTTCAGGGCTATCTTGTTTCTCTCAAGCAAAATATTTCTCCTTAAACTTACAGATTAATGCAGGAAATGTATTGATGAAGCAGGATGAAGGTAAGTACTTCTTGTGAAAGAGAAATATTTAACTTGCTAACTGATGACACACTTTTTTTTTGGTCGGTCATGGGCCTAAACTCTGGGCCTTGGCACTGTCCCTTAGCTCTTCAGCTCAAGGCTAATGCTCTACTACTTGAGCCACAGAACCACTTCTGGCTTTTTCTGCTTATGTGATGCTGAGGAATTGAACCCAGGGCCTCATGCATGCAAGGCAAGCACTCTACCACTGAGCCACCTTCCCAGCGGACACACTTTTATCTCAATAAAATTAGCAGCATATATATATGTTCCCTCTATTATAAATAAAACCATACCTTCTATCTCGATGAAGTTCACTCTGAATAGAAGTTCGAGAAGCTATAGAAGAAAGAATAAACAAAAGTTAACTTATACTAAACATCATGGAATATATGAATTTTAACATCTCTCATCAGAAAAATAACTCAAAACTTTTTATATGGCACAAATTATAATTATGTGTTAAAATTGCATAAGAAAACACAGATTTCAGAAACTCCCCAAAGCACGTTCTGTAGTTCTGAAAATAGTTTGAGAAATGAACAGAGAAAAGAAGATAGCTATTAAGTACATTACACTATTAAATAGAGATTGTATGATGGGAACATTAGGATAATGACAAAAAATAATAATTGGAAGAAAAATACCCTAAGCTATGTCTAACTTGTCTGGAGTTTTATAATCTTTTCATTTTATCATATTATACTTTATTATTATCTTTAAATAGTTGCATGAAGGGGTTTCAATTCAGCATGTCAACTTATGTGTATAATGCATCTTGATCAGCGTCACTCCTTCCATCATTCTCCTGATTTTATAATCTTTAAGTAATCTTAATAATTAAAATAATAAATGTAAAAGGTGTTCAAATTACTTAAATGTATTTTAAGGCATTGTTATATATTAAGTAGTGATTTGGCCCTAAAGTCTCAATCTCAGAGAGCTAAATAGTTTAATTTCCTCCCCTAAATTTTCCTTTATAAAGCAAATCAAGACTTAATCATACAAGATGGAACATATGTCATATATTGGATCATTTTGTAATATAGAAAGTTGTCTTTATCCTTCTGACAGTACTGAGGTGTGAACTCAGGCTTTCTACTTGTTCTAGGCAGGTACATGACCGCTGAACTAAGCCTCCAGCTTTCTGTTGTACCCTGGTAATATTTTAGATAGGTTCTTTCTTCCTGCCCCTGTGTTCCTTGGAGTGCAATCTTCCTATTTTAGGCTTTCTGTCATAGCTAGGATGATAGGGCGGCATAACAGTACCCTGGCTACCCTCAAACTGTGATCTTCCCAATCTGTTTCCCAACCAGCTAGGGATTATAGGCATGAGACACTGGAGCACCTGGATTTGCTCTCTGTCTCTCTTTTTCAATACCTCATTCTAAAGAGGCCTTTCAGGAGGGAAAAATATTCACATATTATACTATAAAGATTTGTGCAAAGAGAGAACTGGTTTCAGTTATAAATTGTTTCACCCGTTGCTTTCTTCACTTCATTATTCTATTTTTTCAGTGTTTCTGAGTTGAAAAGACTGGAAGCATGGATATTTTCTTTCTTCTATTTTTCAGCCTCTCCATGAACAAGGAGGCTGCCATAGCTGAATGAGGTAGAGCTGAAGGTAGGAATAAAAGGTGGGAATGAAATTTGGGGTGGGATGGAGCTGTGCCATCTAGCCTATTCTGAGCTAGCAAAGCAAACCTTTGACCCGTGGATCTTGGCACAGAAGATGTTCTTATTCCCTAGCATCAACTGGTTTGACTGAATGTTACCTTCTTACCAAGAGCTACACCTAAATGAGGTACATTTCATCTACTGGAATATAAGAAGGACAGAGGATAGTGCCATGCATGTGGCAACTGATTGGTAGGAAGGTCTTCATTAAGTCCGAGGCTCACCCAATAGGATGTGGTAATATGCTACAAATCACATTACATCAATTACTAAAGCTGGGACCAGCTTTATGTTAGTTATTGGCTTCATGGTATTGTCACAAACATACCTCTTCCACGGGTCATTTTGTCGTGTACTATTCATGAGTGCTAAAGGAGAAAAAGAAGGGGTTATAGAAGGGGAAAGGGAGAAGAAAGAGTGAACCCCACTGCCTCTCTCTACAAGGACATTAGGAGCAGGACTGTCTTGCTGACACTGTTTTTCCCCACTCTGCATTCTTAGAAAAGAGAAGTTGATGAACCACAGACTCAGAGGGCAAAGAAATACATGGCTACAACAATATCTGTATAGACTGGATCACTCACACATACAATCAGAGTCCAAAAATCTGCCTCTGGTGCAAAGAAAAAAAAATCTGAAAACCATCTTGGCAAAATCAACTTACTACTTCAGTAGAGAGTGACTGTGAAGAGAGTGCTATTTTATAAGCACATGACAGAATTCCTGACTTCTGGTATATATAATCAGTATTTGCTACATTTTTTAAAGCTGGGTACAGTGGCACCCGCCTCCATCTTAAGTTACATGAGAGGCCAAGACTGGGAAGATCATGCTTCCAAGACAACTTAGGCAGATTCCATCTTAAAAGACGGGATGCAGGTATGGTAGCATGTACTTCTCATCCCAGCTTCTACAGGAAGCCTAAGATAGGTGGATTTCAGTCCAGATGTGCACCAAGGCAGGAATCAAGAACCTATCTTAAAAATAACCAATTAAAATTGGGCTGATAGTCTGGCTGATGGTCTTGAATTCAAACCCTATTATCACACTCACACACACACACACACAAACACACACACACACACACACACACACACACACAAACACACACACAGAATCAGTGAATGAAGAATATGAAATTTTAGATTTATCTAATTAAGATTTGTAAACAAAACAAAAAAACTATAGCAAAATTCTTAGGGAATACAGCAATTAATTTTAGTCATGATTCTGGTTGGAACTAGAACGATGTAAGAATTTGAAATGCACCCAGTTGCAGATCCTTGCTTTGAAAAAGTAATGAAGTCTGGTGCCAGTGGCTCATGCCTAGCTACTCAGAAGGTTGAGATCTGAGGCTGAAATTGTGGTTCAAAGCCAGCTTGGGCAGGAAAGTCTGTGAGATTCTTACTTCCAGTTAACCACCAGAAAACCAGAAGTGGTAGAGCACTGTTCTTGAGGGGAAAAAGCTCAGGGACAGTGCCCAGGCCCTGAGTTCAAGCCCCACAACTCAAATAAAATAAAATAAAGTAAAATAAATGAAGTCATTGGGCACTGGTGGCTCACACATACAATCCTAACTGTTCAGGAGGCTGAGATCTGAGAACCAAAGCCAGTCTGGAAAGACAAATTTTGGAGACTTTTATCTTCAAATAATGAGGGAGAAGCCAGAAATGGAGGCATGGCTCGCTCATCTGGTAGAGTGCCAGCTGTAAGTAAAAAAGCTGTGTAAAAACTTGAGACGCGAGGACTGGAGCTCAAGCCTCAGTACCAACACAAAAAGAAAAAGGAAAAACCAAACCAAACCAAACCAAACACTTACACCAGGAGGTAAAGGCACAAAGTACAAAGAACCTATATCCATATGAGCCTATTTTCATAGGCATTTATTTAGCTTATAAAATATTGTGAATAGAGCTCATGAAAGAAAAGAAGAGGGCTTACTATTTTTTAAGCTTACCAGATGTTCCTAATTGTAGAAAATGGCTATATAAGATTATATCTGATCACAGAACTAATTCCATAGCAAATTTTGTTTTAAAAGTGTCATTATATAAGAAAAAGATGTGACTCTGAACAACTGGCTTATCAACAAATGGACACTGAAAAACTAGCTGTTTGTCTGAGCTGCTTTATTACTTCAGGTTAGGATAAGGTGCAAATGTGAAGTTATTCATAGAGTCAACAAATACAATTGCTTGCTAAAAATCTAAGTCACCATCTAAAATTACAACAGAGAAAAAACAGAGGAGAACAAAACAAACTTACATCTTTTGATCACTGCTCTGATGGATGACAAAGGTCCTTGGCTAGAAAAAGAATGAAAGAAAACAAATTACACAATCATCAGTCCTTTGAAGAAGAGTTATTCATAAAGCTGGCTCTTCTCTGGGACCCAGTATGGTGCCAAACAACAAGTTAGATATGCCAGTTACAGGCTTATACTCTTAACAAAACAGAATAATAAAAAATTTAAATTTAACTGGGCTCCGGTGGCTCATGCCTGTCATCCTAGCTACTCAGGAGGCTGAGATCTGAGGATCACTGTTCAAAGCCAGCCTGGGCAGGAAAGTCCGTGAGACTCTTATCTCCAATAAAACCACTAGAAAACTGGAAGTGGCGCTGTGGCTCAAGCAGTGGGCCCCAAGCCTCATGACCAGGAAAAAAAAAAATTAAAAAATTAGCTGGGCGCTGGTGGCTCATGCTTGTAATCCTAGCTACTCAGGAGTCTGCAATCTGAGGATCACGGTTCAAAGTCAGCCAGGAGAAGGAAAGTCCTTGAGATTCTTAGCTCCAATAAACCACTCAAGTGGTAAAGAGCTAGCCTTGAGCTGTAGAGCTAAGGGACAGTGCCCAGGCCCAGAGTTTAAATCCCACAACTGACAATAAAAAATAAAAATAATTGCCTTTCATATTGAGCTGTTTTATGGGAAATGAGAAGACTGATGAGGAATATCTGGTCTGTGAATAAAATTTTGCCTTAAAATTGTTTTCATAGAAATTGACATCTCACATGTTCCCTTGAGACCTGCACATCATGTGTTATCATAGTATGACACAGAGTTCAGAAGAGCTTATTTTTCACACTTAACATCATCCTGCTTGATGGTGAAGTTTCTGTCTCCTCATCCAGATCTATATATACTGTCTGAGTAGTCAGTTTCACCTAAGGATCAACACCTTTATTTCAGATTAGACTTTAAATATTACCAACTTCCAATGAAGCAATTGGCTTGCTTTGAGTTCTCTCCAGTGATTCTCATTTTACCCCTTATTGTGGGATGCTGAACAAATTACAATAGCTTCCGAGTGTTGATTCATTGGTTAAGACTCTCTAGAAACAAAAGTTTATGCAGTTACATCAAGGGGAAGGAGTTTTGCTTTCTGTTTTGTCTTTATTCAAACCAACTGCACTAATTGCTTTTAAAAACATTTGGAAAAAAAGATACAACCTTGAAAGTGTAATGAAATAGTTTAGGGGAAAAATTTAATACTTTTTAGAATGTTCTTTAAGTTTTTACTTTTTTTTTTTGCACAGTACTGATGTTTGAACTCAGTTTTTCACCATTGGTTGGTGGCTGCTTTATCAATTGAGCCGTGCCTCCAGCCCAGCATTTTAACCATATAGGCCAGATATAAAGAATAATAAGAAAGAAAAAAACATAGCTAACTTGAAATGAGAGAATGCAAACTATCTTCTTACAGTCCTAAATTTCTGAAAAGCTCCATAGTTTGAGTTTGAGAATAAAGGCTTATAAAGAAAAATAGCTGGGGCTGGGATGGTGGCTCAGCAGTAGAGCACTTGCCTTGCATGTCTGAGGCCCTGGGTTCGGGTTCGATTCCTCAGCACCACATAAGAAAAAAGAAAAAAGCCAGAAATGGAGCCGTGGCTCAAGTGGTAGAGCACTAGCCTTGAGCTGAAGAGCTGAGGGACAGCGCCCAGGCCCAGAGTTCAGGCCCCACGACTGGACCCAAAAAAAAAAGAAAAGAAAAACAGCTGAGAGGGATAACAGGAAGCCAATGACTCATGCATGCTAAGCATATATCCTCCCATTGAGCTACAAGCTTCAACTCCAGAGTACCTTTTGCTAAAGTTATAAGCCATAACAAAACTACAAAGAATTTACAGAACTGATTTTGTAAGTCTTTAGAGGAAAGTTATTGAGGGCTAAGATCACTTATCTTCTCATCACCGTAGATAGACCAATTGTGGTCATTAAGATGGATAATACAACCCTGAATTCCATCAGAGTTTTCTATCTCATGTTTTTTGAGGAGAAGCAAATTATAATAATAATATTAAAAAACCCAACCCAAACAAAAATCTTACTATTTAAGTTACATTAATACTCTACATAGGTTTTGGTGTATGTGTGTGCCATAGTGGGAATTGAACTTGGGGCCTAGGTGCTGTTGCTTAGCCTTTTTGCTGAAGGCTAGCATTTTACCACTTGAGCTACAGCTCCACTTCTGACTTTTTTTGGTGGTTAACTGGAGATAGTTTCAAAGACTTTCCTGCCCAGGCTGGCTTTAACTGTGATCGTCAGATTCAGCCTCTTGAGTAGCTAGGATTACAGATGTGAGCTTCTGATGCATGGCTGCCTACAAGCTTTGGTGATATGTTTTTATTCTCACTGAAAACATGGCTCTTTGGACTGTTACGTTACCCTTCCCTGGATGCTTTTCACAAAACAGTCATGGATCAGTGGCTCTGTAGATTAGTTTTCCATTTCCTTAAGTCTATTAAAAAAAGAAATCCCATAAAAGTTCAAAGATTTCAGATGAGACTTTCAACTATGTTACTTAGAACTCCAGCACATTTAAAATTAGAATTATGTTGCCATGTCTGTCTCAGTTCTTCAAGATTTTTTCTCTTTATTCGTGTCTTGACTCCCTAATTAGACTTCAAGCTTCTCAAGAATAATGTCTTCTACTATGTTTCCAGTGCAGTTCACTCAACTGAATCATGTGCTTGTTGTCCTAATGTGAACCCAATCCTACTCATGTACAGAAATAAATATAACTTACATGGTACCAGTGACACTACCTACAAACTAATTAATAAGCAAATCCTCAGGAATAACCTTGCTGCTAGTTTCATCTTGTTGGCCTCAATTCTCAGTTACATCTTTTTTTGGGGTCGATCATGGGGCTTGAACTTTGGGCCTGGATGCTGTCCCTCAGCTCTTCAGCTCAAGGCTAGCACTCTACCACTTGAGCCACTGTGCCACTTTTGATTTCCTGATGACTAATTGGAGATAAGCGTCTCATGTACGTTCCTGCCTAGGCTAGCTTTGAACCATGATCCACAGATCTCAGCCTCCTGAGTAGCTAGGATTACAGGTATGAGCCACTGGCACCTGGCCCCAGTTGGATCTTGTGTATACAAATCTTGCCAAAAGTGTCTGTGTCTAATGTTTAAAATGGGTATTTTTCACGGGGTATGTTGGTATACACATGTAATCTAGGCATTAAAGAGAGGAAGGTAAGAGGATGGTTCAAGGAAAACTCCAGCTACATGGAATTCAAGACTGGTATGAGCTACATAAAGCCCTGTCTTAGAAAACAAAAGGCTGGGGATAGAACTCAATAGTAGAGTATTTGCCTAAGGCATGAGACCCCAGAATCTATCCCCAGCACCATAGACATACACAGAAAGGTATTTTTCATTAAAACAAATTCAATTTGAAGAACATCTGGAACTCAATGTAGACCAACCATAGATAGAAAACTGGCAAGATGGGCCTTAGTATGAGATGGTGCTTTAGACTACAACACTTAATTTGGCAACAGATACCAAAACTTAAATGTCCCTTCATAGAATTTCAGAGGTAATTTTGTCTATTCAGTTATTTCATTGTCTGCTATACTGGAACTAAATTAAGTGTTGTGTTGGAGTCTAATGTTCACATTCTATGTCATAAAATATATCATACATAAGAAAGAAACATCCTCAAAACAAAGGTCTCACCCATCACTGTGCTTAACAATGATTTCAGTATATGGTAAGTTCTTAAAAAGAAAAGGAAAAAAAGAGGAAGTAAAGAGAACCTATATTCTTCCCTAAATACTGTCATGTTTGTTTAAAAACTACACGAAATGGGGTGATACCATCTTTTGGACACTTCCTGTGGAATTCAGACGGATACTGGCAGGGGACAGCACCTGGCAAGAGAAACTGACACAGAAACTTGGTGGGAATTCAAGAGTCATCTGATCACACTAAAGAAGGGAAAAATAAAGGCAAATGTTTCCCAATTGAGAGTCTATATTGAAAGACCTAACATCCGTGAAACAAGAAACAAACACCAAGAATGAAAAGAACTACAATATACAAATTCTCATCAAAATATGCAATCTATTCTCCTCTAGTTCTTATTATGGAAAAGACAGGCATGGCCTGCAGATGGCAACAGTGTTACCTCCTACAGTGTCAGTACCTTTTCTTTTGCAGTGCTGGAGTTTGAATTAGGGCCTCACACATGTTAGGCACGGCATCTGCCACTTGAGCCATGCATACCTTCAGTCCTTCCTGGGAGTGCTTTCTGGTGTCAATCCTAAGAAAAGATTTTAACTATACAATTTCTAGCTTTAAGTTATCTTTTTATTCTCTGAGTGCATAAACACTTTTTAAGCAAGTCCAGATTAACTCATTTCCTTTGGAGATACTGAAAATCAAAGCAAGATTCATATAAATACTTATTTGGTTAATGGATTATTCCAATTTGGGGGCATATAAAGGATATAGGAGAAGAAAGGAAGAAGGATGAAAGGAAGAAATGAGCAACAGACTCCATATACCATCTGGTCAATTTATTAAAGTAAAAGTGGGAGAATTAATTATTTAATGGAGTTGCAATTAATGCAGACAAATATATCAGGCCTCCACTGGGTAGCATTCTAGCTCACTCTGGATCACTCAGTATTGAACTAGAAGTGAGAGCTGTATAGTATGAGTCTGTGGTGACTACTGATAATGTGGCCAAAATGAAAAAAAAAAAAAATCAGTAACAAAACCCAGAATTCTAGAAGCAGCTGACATTGGAAATGGCCCACCACAAAATATGTTACAAACAAGGGCCTGTGTGCGTGCCTGAGGACACGTGGCAAGATGCCTTAACTTCATCATGTGATGCTGTCCAGATGAGAACAAAGTCATCTCAGCTAACCAATGTGCTATCCTCCTCTTAGAAACACTTACCATCCATAAAAAGCAAGGGAGAGACCCATAGGTTTAGTAGAAAGACAGCAACAGAAGAAAAAAGGTTAGAATCACATTTCTCCATTCTTTATGAGATGAAAATAAAAC